ATATGCCCTTCCCAGCGCAGTCTGCCCTTTTTTTTATTGTTGCGACCATGGGTGGGTCTTTTTACAATTTGTATAGCTCTTGGTTAGTTCGGGTTCTACATAAATCATTTTCTATTCCTGGGCCATATATTTTCCTGAGGATTTTCCTCTTCCATATTATTATATTGAGCAGGTTCTCTGCTTTTCTGGTAAGGAATCAAGTCTCACTAGCGTATAAGTTACTGCCGGCCTTATCATAGTGGGGTATATCGTCTTCTTTGTTCCCCTGGGAGGTTTTTGCTTCCAGTAGCCTTTGTAGGCTGAAATAGGAACTGCTGCCTCCTGTTATCCTTTCTTTCACCTTCGGCATTATTTCATTGTGTTCGTTTATAGTTGTTACCGGAAAATTGATCGACGGAAATTACAATTTATTAAAACAAAATAATGCGTTCAAAAAGAAATTTGACGCAAAAATAGATCGTGTGAACTGAAAAAAGAATTCGACCAAATTTCCGTTCGATCAAATTCCCGTCGATTAATTTTACGTCGACGAAAATTCTTTCAAACTAATTTCCGGATACGGTTTATAGTCACCCCTATATACAGTGGAACCTCTCATGACGAGCACCTCTCATAACGAGTAATTCGCATAACGAGCAAAAAAAATGTGAAGAAGTTGCTCCCTTAACGAGCGACATTTCGCATAACGAGTTACGCAGAAAGGGGAAGTCCCTTTTCCCCTCACTTCTGCTTGGAAAAAACTTTGGCCAGATAGTGTTGTTGAATGTGATTTTGAAACAGTACCTGTGGAGTCTACAGTTAACGAGATTGTGTCATTGGCCAATATCATGAGACTCGAGGTGGACAACAACGATATTGAAGAGCTTGTCAAAGAGCGCAGTCAAGAGTTGACCACCGAAGAGCTTATGGAGTTGCATCGTGTTTCACAGCAAGAAATTATGGAGGAGAGCTCATTAATGGAGGAGGAAGAAGCAGAACAACAATCTTCTAGCGCAATAAGAGAAATGCTGAAAGTCACTGAAAGCATGGGAAACTGTTGCATGCGTGCATTGAGACGCATCACCCTAATAAGGAGGTGGCTATTCGTGCTAAAAATTTATTCAATGATAATGCTGTGACACATTTTCGTCAAATTTTGAAGCGTCGGCAAAAAAACTGTCTTTAGAAAGTTTTCTAGTTAAAAAGGATTAATTATGTGTCAAAAATTCATATTTTTATTTACTTTTTTGTTTCAAATCTAAATTGTATTCCAAGTTGTTACACTCATTAACAATTCATAAGTAATTTTATTTGAATACATGTTAATAAAATTTTTTGGAAAAATGAGTATTTTTTCAGCATGGAACGCATTATCGTATTTTACATTGATTTGTATGGGAAAAATTGTTTCGTTTAACGAGTGTTTCGTTTAACGAGTAAGAGTCTGGAACGAATTATGCTCGTTATGAGAGGTTCCACTGTATTTGAAAGTCACTCTCTCAAACTTGTGGTTGTTTATATTGATGTTGTCATCAGCGTGGGTGTTTCGTAACCATCTATATATTTTTTTTTTCGCAAGCGAATCTAGGGCAAGAAGCAAGAAGACGACAATGCAGGCTATATATAGATACGCCAGGGCAAGCAAGACGCAGGCAAACCCTCCTCTCCCTTCCCTTGCCTGCCCATCGTTGGTCTCGAGACATGCGCACTGCGGTGAAGTTACCACCCCCCTCCTGCACCATCCTCGCTTGCCAGCCATGGGCACACCCAACAAGCTCGCGGCGCATGCTAAGCCGCGGGTCGGCTATATTTATATAGTTCATGGGCATGAAATATAAAGTGTGCAGTTTCGTATCATTGGAAGGGTTGTAGCCAAATTGGCATTCTTAAATGTGCGTAACTTGAGTTCACGTTTTTGTCAAGTAACTTTAGTAGATGAGAAGTTCACGTATTGCTGTCGCCAATGTTTAGCGGGCTATATCTAGTTATCATATGTTTTGTCTACGCTTCATTTACATCACGACCAGCTTTGACTGAGGCATTTTCAAGGTCCCTGAATACTTTAATTATGTCATTTCTGTTTCTGGCTAGTAGCGCGATATCGTCTGCGTATGCCATATACTGCAATGGCTGGCTATAAAAAGTTCCTGATGGTTGTTGTTCTGTAATACATCTCTGGAATTAGCTTGTTATGGTTCAACTGGTGCTCACATGTATGCTTCTAAAAACTTTTTCTAGCGCGTTGTTGAACGGGATACATGATAGAGAATCTCCTTGTCTGAGGCCCTGATTAACTGGTAACTCCTCCGAGTATTCTCCCTGTACCTTGATTCTACTTTTGGAGTTAGCCTTCGTAATTAATATGTGTGAGCCAAGTAAGTTTATTAATTGAGGACTTCAAGTTCCTTTTGAACATTGTATAGGTAATTCCTGTCTACGCTATCGTATGCTGTTTTGTAATTCACGTATAGTTGGTGTATGTCGATGTTATGTTCGTAGAATTTCTCCAAGAAAAATAGTAGAAATATGATCCGTGGCTGACCAATTCTGCCGGAAACCGAATTGGTAGTCCCCCTAGAGGAACTGTTCACGATAATATTATCTTTCCAGTTTTCTTACTATAAGTTTTGTGAGGATTTTGTACATTACATTAAGTAGGGAGTCTCCTCTATAGTTTGAGCAGACCAACTTAGATCCTTTTTTTTGTGTGAATTGGAACTATAAGTGCAGTGTCCCATTCCATTGTCATTTCTTCCTCCTGCCATATTCTGGATAAGAGTTCGTGTATTTGCCTATGCAGTTCGTTTCCATCTACTTTTATCAGTTCTACAGAGATAAGGTCTATTCCTTGGGCTTTTTTCATGGTAAAGATACCATCTTTTATTTCTTTAAGTGTTGGTTGGTTGACCACCGGATCTGGTCCTCCTTGTGGTAGAGCGTAATCCTCATTGGTTCATCCACCTGAACCTTTCAGTAAGCCTTCAATGCGTTGTGCCCATCTCTCTAATACTCTACTGCTCTCTGTGATCAGTTCTCCATCCATACTTTCATACACGTGGATCTTGCTCGAAAGCTATTATTTTCATGCTTTTATCTTCAGGTACATTCCCCTCACATCTCTTTCTTATATCTCTACTATTTTTTATTTTTCTTTTTGCAAATTTTGGTAGCCACCCTTCTTGTTTCATTAAATACTTTTCGTGTTCATCGTGTCTCATCAGGGTTTCTTTCAGCTATATCTCCCTTGGGTGGGGGGCACTAACCCCCCCTGGTAAAGCCAGGCCCCCCCCCCGAGCAAAAATATGTCCAACAATAAATCAACTGGCACTGCTGGCACTGCCACCCCCCCCCCCACACAAATCTGAAATGCCCCCCGGGGAAAATTTTCTGAAATAATCACTGGTACCCATTTCCAGCCTCATTAGCCGAGCGGTTGTTTCGTAGACATTATTAATATTATTAATATTAGGAAATTGGAGTACTCAGAGAACTTTGAGTTTCGATTCTGTAACTTCTCAAAGGGCATGCTTGTACATTCCTGCTAATATGAATCAGTAGCACCACTATGTGGTGCGGGTGTGTACCGCACCTGTTGACACCCTGACTGGGGTGGGGGGCACCTAAAGGAAAATTTTAGATTTGACAGAGTTCGCTCGAGTCGGTTTCATACAAGAGCAGCTACTTCGCAAATTAGTTGCGTTGTGGAAACCCACTGTAGAATCCCTCTTACAGGGCATCCAACGCTTCACCGGGATGGGTGGGGAAGATTTTAGGACGTAAATTTACCATCCCTTACCATCCCGACTACTGAGAAAGTCGATCGCGTGCACTGTGTTCAAATACAGTGTCAGACCGACAGGATGTCTTTGGGTTGGGGTGGCCTCTAGCGGAACCCACTCAAGCGGACTCGGGTGGGGGCTATCCTGGCAAAAGAACACCTCCAAAGTGCCACTTCGCGGCCGATATCGGGCTTGGGGGGGTGCTTTGGGGAGGGCATAAAGAGCTTTAAGCTCGACGGCCCGCTGACGCCATTTCTTAATGTGACATTTCATACAAGAGCATAGTGCCACCAGAAAAGGGTGTCACCAGATGGAGCAGGGAGCCACCAGACAAAGCAGGGTGTCACCAAAATAAGCTGTTACCAGAGAGAGCAAGGTGTCACCAGAATTGGGTGTCACTGGAGTTGTTTGCCGCAAGAGCAGGGTGTCACAAGACAGAGCAGGGTGTCACAAGACAGAGCAGGCTGTCACCAAACAGAGCAGGGTGCCACCAGACAGAGAAGTATACCACCAGACAGAGCAGGGTGCCATGAAAGAGAGCAGATTTGGAAGAGTTCCATGAGAAAGTCTGAAGGGGGGTGACACCATAAGATGCCTCAGTGGGTGACACCAGCACTAGTTAAAAGAAATCCTGAAGTTAAAAGTTAATAGAAGTTGTGGGGAGGAAGTGGTGCTGGCAAAACATATTAAGTATGTACTGCATAAACCCGGATAGGAAACGCACAACAACGAAGATATTCAAGAACAAACAGTATCGCCAAACAGGATATGACTTTGCATAATTTTTAACCAGTATATACACATCGTCCAATGATTAAATTAAATATAGACCTATTCCTTATTTTGATCTGTCTCATATTTATCATAAATATAAAATGTGTAGAAATTATCACTTTTTGATCGTTAGATCATTTTAATATTTAAATGTAAACGGAATTTTAAATATTTAAATAGATACTTTCAAATTTCTTTATTTTAGCATTACAAGTGAGTTTTTTTTGTAAATCTGGCATGTAAAACCTGACCCAGTGGTTCTGTCTAAATTAAAGTTTGGCAATATAATCCTTAACTAAAGTAGTAATTATTTCTTGTTTAGATGCACTTAGAAATTATAATAACTATGGATACATTTTAACTAACAGGTATGGTTATTGCAATGTTAACCAGAACTTATATCTCATTTAAGTTTAGTCCCTAAAATAGAAAAATAAAAAAATGAGGGAGTTAGAACCATTGTTTTTCATTCGTGCTTGGCCCTACTTTTCCAAGATATCGAATTTTCAAGGCTAACTTTCCAAGTACCAGTTAGTTCCGTTATCCTTATAATATGCGTTTGTCTCGTCTGACGGTATATAAGACACGGCTGTGAGATAGTTGTGATACACCAGGTTGACGGAATACCTCTTACTACTACGTTTAAGCAGGTATGAACGTAAAAACTAAATTACACCGGTCTCAGAAGTAGAAGCTTAGAATATACTAGGGCTTGATACTTGATAATACTGTAACTGTAATAATAGTCGTAGTTAACTCTGAATGAAATGCGACCAAATGAAGTACCACAAAAGCAAAACTTCAAACAAACGTATACTAGTTAATAATATTTATTATTTAATAAAAGTTAAACAATTTAGTTTCACCATATTCCTGATAAATATTTAGTATTTTGTTTGTTATTTCTAATTATGCTTATCCAGCATGCAGTACCAAGACCAAGTGTACCTATTTTTGTTTATTTTAAAAATGCATTGTCATGATGATGAAGATGGATGATGATTTGATTCACTCATAGTAATCATACTCATAATCTTCATAGTAATCATAGTCACATACAGTCAGGCAGGATGGCATAGGCATAATCATAATATTAATATATCATACTAATCATACTCATACATTATTATTAAAATTAAATATGCAATTCTAATACTAATACTATACTATAGACTATAGACTATAGTTAATTGTTGCTTTTATAAGTTATTATATAATTATATGGGCCTACACCCCTACAACAATAATATATATTGCCAATATTGGATCAAATATTTGTAACTCATATTAATTGGGACCAGTGGCGTAGCTAGGGTTGGTGTCACCCGGTGCGGTAAACTCATGGAGTCACAACCCCCCCTCCCCCCCCCCCTCTTTTAATAAAGCACGCATTTGGATTGGTTAAATTTGTGAAAAATATATGTGTGATCGGTTATTCTTTTATGAATCTCGATTTTTGCGAGCAATGTGTGCCCTGTAAATATGCAATTTTTCAATCGGGTGTCACCCCTAAAATGGTGCACCTGCCTTGCTATGCCACTGATTGGGACCTATAAAATATCGAAGTGGATGCGTACACCGCGGCGGTGTACCTAGCGAAAACATTGGCTTTGGCCTGCGTACACCGCGGCGGTGTGCCTAGCTAAATCGTGGGCTTTGGCCTGGGTACACCGTGGCAAAAATGTACCATTGGCCTGGTTTTAACATATTCTTATAATAGAAGATCTTGTGTGGTCAAGTGGTAGAGTGGACGCCTGGCTATATTATATTTTGAGATCAATTCCCAGTGGAGGATTGAGTTTTTTCCTTCCCATTTTAATTTAAAATATGTTATTTTTACATTATCATGTTCATTTGCAACAGTAGTTTCATGAGAAGTTTTTAAATATTATGTAGCAATTTAAACAATTTAAATATATGTTATATTCAGATTATTAAGTGTTTCAACAACTTGTGCCAGCCTTTGATTTTGAAAATACCGATAATTTTAGTAATAAGACATTAGAAAACAAACTGAAAGTTTCTGAAAGCTCATGTATAGTGTATGTAACATGTATAAGAAAAACACTTTGAATACTAAGTGAGATTCTATTGTACTTCAATATTCTTCGTGTAGTTGAATATTTACATATTACTTTTACGAATACGCAAAGAAAATACCAGTATATTACTAATATCATATGAATATTAATGTAATTGTAATTGATGTGCATGGTCGTATTTCAACCATCTTGCTTTCACTACACCCTATGCATTGACAAAATGTACACACGATATCAACGGTTCATTCACAGCCCTGAGTCTCACAGTAAATCTTTTGAAAACACCTAGATTTTAGAAACTTACGGAGCGGTAGCAAACTGTATAGCAAAGCCATAAGTCTGCGTTTACCCTTTTCATGACGGAATTTGTTTTCAGAATGGCATGGCATGTGCTATTCTCAGGGTAAAACACAATGTTTTCTCACAGAAACCATTGCACAATGCGCTTGGGAAAGGATTAGCTCTATGTCAAAGTTTTTTTATTTTTTGTTTTTTGCTAAGAAATCGATCCTTGCCCGTGGGGGGGGGGGGGGGCGGGGGGGGGGGAGGTGAGTTATGGGCAGAGGCTTAACCAAAAAGGGAGCCTACTCAAATCACAACTCTGGATAGGGGTTGTCCACAAAGGACGTCCGCACAAAAAACTTACCTTTTGCACAGACCCCCCCCCTTCCGCCGGTCTTTTTTACTAATGTGTAAAGCAAATGTAAAACTAAATCAATGATATTTAATTATTGTTGATATACTTTTAAAAATCACTGTAGTGTTCAATATCTTCCTCTCAAGGTACTAAACGAATTGTACCGGGTAAATAAATAGTTTTCAGTTTTAACAAGAGTATAACATTAAATCTACAAGTACCGGTTAGGCCAAAAAGTTAAAGACTCGCAAAGACCATGGTTTTGTTACTTTAAATCGCTGCGGTGTTCGCAGGCCACAGACCATGATTTAGCTAGGTACACCGCCGCGGTGTACGCAGGCCAAAGTCAATAGTTTCGCTAGGTACACCGCGGCGGTGTACGTAGTGCCGGCCATAAAATATAAATTTTGCAATAGAAAAATTAAATCTGCTTTGCCTCAGCCTCAAACAGCATTAGCATTGCTTTACTATTTTTAATTTATATTTATTTACCTGACTGACAAAATGTTTATAATTCTTTCAAACCCTGTTATTTTCACTATAACTTTCCCTAGCGGAGGCTAATAAGTATTATTTAGTTACAGTACAGAGTTCTTAGAGTAGAGAGGCTTGTTGTCACTAAAATAAGTACCAGGTTGCAGTCGCTAAAAGCTACTATTAATAACACTATACTAATGGCAATGGAGTATAACATGAATATTATCAATGATAATCCTGTATTTAAATTTAATATTAATTTTATTTTGGTCTAGCTGTAAATGTAAATTTGATTACTTTTAACCCTTTTGTTACCGATGACGTCGATGCGACATCACAATCACCCACTTTCAATTACCAAGGATGTCACATTAACATCATATCAAGAGGCAAAGACTTTTTCTGAAATACCAAGGACGTCACGTCGACGTCATAATTCAATGCTATATATTTCTTTATTCATTAATCGATAGAGAAGTTAATAAGCAAATCAGATAGAGAATGAAAAATATTGAAAGTTTCTTAAAAGTTTTTTATTGCTGAGTCAGCAAAAATTGGTGCCAAACCAGGGGTAATGAAAGAGTTAAAATTTTTTTTAATGATTTGTATTAATTATTAATAGATTAATATAACGTTATGAATGGCAAGTTATGACTTACTGTTAGTCAGTCTTATTTCATTGGTGACTCTAGGGATATACACTAATTGCTATACACCAGTACTTGGGCCAGTAGACTTGGGCGTGGCAAGTTATATGTGAATGTGATTTGCTAACCTCAAGAGCCAAGACATTGTCATTGATAATATCTTGGATTAAAATTAAATAAAGTATTAATTTTTTGTGCCTTTTATTTTTATAACAGATTGCTGTTTTAACAACCAATTTATAATACAATGCCATCTCAACTTGGATACTGGGCCATTAGAGGTGTAAGTTTTTAAATGTTGAAAAACGAGCAACAAATTTCTTTTAACCAAGCTTTATATTATTCTTTCCATGCTATTTTTAATGTTACCATCTAGAACTAGAAGTAGAATCATGTCATAATTATTAATTAATAATACTATATATTTTTATGGTTTTAATAAATAGTAATTTTTACATATTTGAAATGTCAAAAACATATTTCTCTAATAGAGAATGATACTCTGTCCACTGTTTGTTTTTGTGTACCTCATTTGGAGTCCTTGGCTAAAACATCATTTTTAATAGGTGTCTACAATTTTTAGCTTTAGTTACAGTTATGACATTAAATAATTCATAATTTAAAAGTAAATTGACAAAAATCTGTTTTTTTAAGTGCTTTCTTTTATCCATTTAAAAACATTTTTTAATGTATGGGCATGGGTGTCGCACATCGCATTTTTCGTCTATTAAACGGGGGTTTATCTCAAAAGAAGGTGGGAACCTGTGACTTAGCTAGTAAAGATGGGAATTGAACCCTCTTTTTGAAATTTAATTTGGTTTAGGTTTGGCCATCAGCAGGGTTCAGTTCCTGTACGGTAACACTTAAAGCTTGGGTTCGGCAACCACTGGAGTTTAGTATTTTGAAATTAATTGGTTTTAATTTAAATAAATCTATATTAAATTTAAAATGAAAATAAGGGTTTATATGGAAATTCACACAAAAAATATGAAAATAAATTTTCATAAGCTGAGATTTATATAGCAATAAATAAAGCAGTTATGTTGCTAAAATTCAATAATAATAAAGAAACATACATTTATATTGGGTTTTATACTTCTTGAAAGGAAAGATTTAATAGTTTATTATTAAATATCAATCCTTTCAACAGCACACGCTAAAACAAACAATTTCGATCCTGTCTTTTTTCACTTTTGATCTATTGGGGTGCAGTGGGGTTTGTTAATTGTAATATCTTGTAGGCATAGCCACAATAAAATCTCTGCAGTTGGTAAAAAAAAATGCCTGTCTATATAAGGAAATAAGTGTAGCATGAGGTACCCCCCCTATGCCACTGCTTTTAGGATCATCATACTACTGCAGTGTTTAGTTCTCTCTCCATCTAGAAAACCTCACATTATCTAGGTGTTGTCATCTGTTGAAAATTTGTTTGATGGATACATAAATAGGCCTGGATCTAATTTGAGCTAGTTTCTCTCACTGGGTGAAAAATAGTTGGCCACATAGTGTTGTTGTTTGAGTTGTCAGAAATTAATACAAAATCAAGCCTATGAGTGAAAGGGTGTTGGCAGGGGAGGAGTTGAGTAGGGAATGATTTAACAATAATCAAAATATTGTTTTGCAATTGGATTTTCTAATTATAAGCATTTCCGTCTTAAGTAGTGATGCGCCACGTTCCTAAAACAGTGTTAGTTCTAATAAGTTTGGGATAGAATGTTATAGTTGATTTAGTACTCGGTAACATTTAAGTTTGGTTATTTGCAGGGTTTTGGTTTGATTGTCAGCTGGGTTCAAGTTCGATGTGTTTGATTCTATTCCCATCTCTATTAGCTAGTATAATATCAATAGAAAATATTTATTTTAAACCTCTCTACATTTTATGTACACAAAGATATGATTGAATCATTTTAAAACCCTTTCCAGCTTGCTCAACCCATTCGACTCCTTTTAAACTATGTTGGTGAAGAATTTGTGGATAACCGTTACATGCAGGGTGATGGTAAGATGATCAAACTATACTCAAACTATATTGGTTAATTATCCTTTTGGTGTATAAGTAGTATAAGCCCTAAATTGGTTGCCTTTTTATTCTTTATCTTTTTTTTAACTTTAAAGTGTAAAATTGTGAATAGAAAAAGATATAACTAACTCATTTATTTACTATTATAAACAATACAATATTTAAAAAATATTCATTTTACTGAAAATTAAATTGTATATATGGAAAATTTTTTACAGTACTAGACTTTATCAAATCTTTTAAACCATTTTTTTTGCTGTAAAGAAAATAATTAAGCTTGTTGAATATGTCTATTAAAAAAGCAACTATTTGTGTAGACTTATTAAAATAATAAACATTAATGATAAGTTTTTATCAACAGGGCCAGAATACAGTAGAGCAGAATGGGAAAAGGTTAAATTTACGCTTGGACTAGATTTCCCCAATGTACGTTTACTTTGATAATCAAATTTAAAAATGCATGCCTAATTATTCATATTAAATTACATTTAATTTTTTTTAATGTTATTCTTAAGCTTATTAAAATGTGGTTATATTCTTCCTACAATGGTTCTGTTTCAATTGACAGCTTCCCTACTACATTGATGGTGACATTAAACTAACTCAGTCAAACACCATCCTGCGTCACCTTGCCCGCAAACATAATCTCTGTAAGTAGTCAGTTAATATGCTACTTCTGACCAGAATATTGGTGGAAACTAGGGAATTAAGTTTTATCTAAATGAATAAAAAATCCAATATACTTATGGATGCTGGTAAAGTTTAAAAGTAAAATGTCTTTACTAATAAAAAGGGTACATAGTTAGCTATAAAAAAAACATTTTGTCTTAATATTCTGAGGATCAAATATTTTATTAATCATTTCCCATTAGGAAAATAAAACCTGTTAAATTTAACATTTTCCAGGCTTGCAGTAAATAGTAAAGATCAACAAAATCTTGTTAAGTGAAGTGAAGTTTTTTGCTTGTGTAATATTTGATAATTATTGGTTAAAACTACCCTGTCAGATGGAGAGACAGCAAAAGAAAAAGCCCATGTTGATCTGATGCTTGATGTTATAATGGATCTTCGCAATGCCTTTGTTAGACTTTGCTATGGCAATGAATGGGTAAGTAACCTATAATTTTATATTAAAGCGTTGTCATTAAAAAATATACAATTTAAAAAAAATACTTGTGGGATTAAGACAACATGTATTTTAAAAAGTGAAGTAGTTTATTTTGATTGAGAATTTATACACTTGTTTTTAATAATACTGAAGAGTAGATCAAATTGTCATTAAAGGCTTTGCATATAATGATTAATGTGTGCAAATGAGAATTAAAGGAAGATTGTTTCTATAAAAAAGATAAGAGAGAACATTTTTTTGGACCACAACGTTTATCTAACTTAACAAGTTTCTATATTTAATTTATATTAATTTTATTAACAGAATGACAGCATCCGTGGGCAGTATATTGAACAGACTAAACCAACACTTGAATCTTTGGAAAAATACTTGGGCAACAAAAAGTTTTTTGTTGGAGACAAGGTAATTTAAAATTTAATCGAAAGCATAGTAATAGTAGTAGTTCAAAAGCATTCCCATTTCATTGCAAAAATTATTGGTAATTTAAAATTTGTTAAATGAATAAAATCTTGCAGCAATTTCAATTTAGTTTAGCTTAGCTTTTTATTTAGTAAAGCATATAAATAACAAATTTTACCAAAACTGTTAGTTTCTGTCTTTTGAGAAAACATTAAAACTCTTCTTCAACATTTTTTTTCTAAGGATGACATACACATAGTCCTTGCTTATTAAATTTTATTTTCATGGATATATACTTAAAACTTTTATAAATAATTTAAATTATTCAATCACAAATGGATATATACTTAAAAAACTTTTATAAATAATTAAAATTATTCAATCACAAACATGATATGAAAAATGAATGTGTAATAAAATCTATTGAATTATTTATTTTCTTTAAACATATCTTATATCTTTTAGATCCAGACTGAGGTTGTGTATGGCTGATTTTTTTAAATTAAACAAAATGTTTTCAAATTTAAAAGAGCCCTTGACTTAACATTGAGTGTTTATTCTAATCGTAGTTTTTTTGTTTCTGTTACTTGACTTAAAATTTATTATTTTTAGAATTTTGATTAACTTGTTTTTTTAAATTCACATGCTTTTGGCATTCTATATTTAAATTAAATAAAACATGCATTCAAATAAAGATCTCTTATACCAATACAAACTTATTTGAAGGGATAAAGCTGTATCACATTTTTTAATTCTAAATTTATGTTGAACATTTTCAAGCTAAACATACATCCATACAAAAATTAACAAATAAGTTAAAATAGTAGCAATGGCTCCTTTGATTTTGAGTGAACTTTAACATTTTCAGTTGTTAAATTTTGATGATAAATTTTAATGTGACACAACATTGATATCTCAAACAGGTGTAAATATTAGATTTTTGTGGGGGGAAAAATGGATACTTAAAATAGTATTTTATCAATCTTCCAGCATTAGCAAAATCCTTGTTTCAGATACACACAACTTAATGCTGTTGCTGATTTTTTTAAAAATCTATTTTTCAGGTGACTGTTTGTGACTTCCACATTTATGAAATGTTGGACCAGCACCGCCTTTTTGAACCCAAATTGCTTGAAGATAGGCCCAAACTATCTGCTTATTTGGAACGTTTTAGGGAACTGCCAAAAATTAAGAAATACCTGGACTCTGACAAATGTTTAGTGCGTCCAATCAACAACAAGTCAGCCAAGTTTTTATAAATGACAAAAGAGTTTTCCTACTTACAATTCTAGAACATGACATCCTTTTTTTTATGTGTGTGTATTTCAGGAAAAAGTTCTCTGATTCTAATTATTACACTGAAGCTAGTCTTGGTTAACTGTCAAGGTCTATTAATACCAGTCATCTGACGGTATTAATAGAGGCAAAATATTAACTTACACAATTTAATTAATTTTGAATTTTACCAATGTGATGTGCTATTAGCTTTGCAATTGTTTCATAGAGCATTGTTTCTGGATTATTTTTGGTGCCATGCTTTTTTTTTTTTTTGAAATGATGGCAATATTTTTCTGCTTTAAAGCAAAATTTGAAAACATTTCATAGTGTTTGGATTTTATTTTTAAAATTCAATTTGATATATTTTATCTTTTTAAAAATATTTTAATATGCTATTGATGATGTGTAATTTAAACCATAATTTTACTTGTAGAGTCACTATAGGGCAGACAATTTCAATGTCACTAAATGTCACAATATCTTAATATTATTTATTATTATGGTTTATAAGTATATTATCGCTGCCATCACACTTGCTTAACAGTCTATGAAATTTTAATGAGGCAATAGGAAACTAAAATCTTTGAGTCTTTCATATTCCAAGAAAAAAGTAAAATTTCAAGGGAAATGCTTTGAGGAATTATTTGACACTAAATAGATTTCTTTTGTGTAACAATGACAATTTTAAAAAGTGATAATCTTTTGTATGTTACTTTAATGAATAATCAATTTAAGTCATAAACTGGTCTTAAGTAAAATTGTTGGCATTTATCTTTTAAGGGTATTATAATATATTTAGATTATATGTTGCTTTTACATTAACCATTCCATTTGTGAGTTAGATTATTAACTATTAAATGGTTTTATGGTACACACATCTTATTTTCGAGTTACTTTATTTTAATGTTAGCTATATTTAAACAAAAACTATCAAAGTGTATCCTTTTTGAAAATTTAGCATTTGGAGAAAAATGTGGGGTCTCATTATACAGGATGTATGCAGGTATCTAAGAATCAGCTTCAAGGGGTTTGTTGATTCCTTAACTATGGTACACAAACTTGAAAAATGCTTGTTACAAAATTTAAGGCTCAATGGAATAAAGTATGGGGTCTTAAACTTTTAGAAGCACTGGATTCCCCTCTTGCCCATGTGTGGATACTGATCTTCCATCAAGCGCCTCCCCATGTGGCGGATAGGGGAAAGCCCACCATATATGGTAAGTACTGGGTAAAAAAAATCAGAACCTATTGCCTTGTAGGCGTTGGAGGAGCCCATGAAGGCTAGGGAATCTTACCCAAATATTAAATTAAGTCAGATACCTAGAGAGGTGTAAAGGGCGGGCCTCCAGATGGTTGTGAACAGGGCTAACAACCCAGCCATGTAAAAAACAAATTTAACGAAAGCCAAACGGAATAAAATCCTGACTGATTCTAATGGAGGTCGACTCATGACTGAATATGGGCATGATTTTTTTTATTGCCACTTGGAATGGACCAAACTTTTTTAGAGCAGGAGCCTTAGCCAACCTAATAAATCAACTAATTAAATAGAACATCTCAATTGCTGCATTGCAAAAAATTGGATTGAAAAATGCAGACATCCTCAAGACTAAAGACTACATCCTATTTTATAGTAGTAACACTAATATACTTGGAACAGGAATTGCTGTGAAGAAAGAAGCCATTAGGGCATTCATAGGTTTTAAACCTGAGAAGGAAAGAGTGTGCTCTTTGCCTGAATGAGGAAAATGTTTAATAAACATTTATAAATGTTCATTCTGCCACCGAAGATAAAGAAGGTCAGATGAAAGAATCCTTTTATGAGACACTGGAAATAATATATGATGAAGCACCACGACATGATATTAAAATAGTACTTGGCGATCCGACTCATAGACTTAACTTCTTTAGAGAAATGTTATGAGTAATATATCCCAGTACATCAACTGGCATCAAGATGACTGCATCAAAAAAAGAATATCTATATGAGACTCTGCAGGACATACCCAACAAACTGACAAGACTGAATCATGTAACATTAAACAACTTAAAAATCAAAAGTTCAGGGAGAACATTCAAGGGATTTCAGATTAGATGAGGCCCAAGACAAGGACGGAGACTCACTGTCTTTGTGCTATTTAACCTAACATTAGAGACTTATAAGAGGCATACATATTAACACCAGAGAAACAATAACATGATACTTTCTGAGGGAAACCCAAGACCCACAACAATAGACTCTCTAACATCAACCCCATCAGTATAATGCATGAATTGATGACATTTCACGGTTAGGGGAAAAGTAGTAAAGAATGCAAAAGTTTTTATAGAATTAGAAGACTAATCACTACAAGCAGGGTTGGAAGTTAGCAAAAAAAAAATAAAAAAAAATACATGACTATGTTAAGAGAAGAACAGGCCGTCTATTATTAAAATCTATTATTAATACCAGTATATTAGAAACCACACTTTTGAAAAAGGAAATCTATTCAAATACCTAGGATCTTTATTAAATGAAAGAAATGAATTACTAATAGAAATTAAAAGAAGGAATATGGGCCGGAAAATGGGCATACTTCAGTAGTCAGAAAATATTCATAAAGTAAAAACATGACAAGAAAACTATCTATAAATCTCTAATCAGACCAGTTGTGACACACGCCAGTGAAACTTGGACCCCAACAAATACGGCACAAAACCTACTGAACACCAAGTTTCTCAGGAAATTAAAGTACGGACCAACAATGGATGGAGAATACGAAAGAACCAGGAATTGTATAGTCTATATCAGGATCTCACGTTAGTAACTAGTTACAACTAAAAAAAGGGCAGGCTATGCTCGGTGGGACACTTAGACTTAGAAAGTATGCCAAATGACAGCGGAACGAAGAGGGTGTACCACAGAAACCACGGAGGAAAACGCCTCAAAGGCAGATATAGGCTTAGATGGATGGACGATATGGAAAAAGATCGATATAAATTGGGAATCCAAGCATGGAAAAAAAAATCATCATTTAGGTCTGAGTGGAAAGAAGTGGTGAGGCAGGCTAAAGCCCAACATGGGCTGTAGCGCCACAAGGAAGGACCCGCTCTTGATTTCAAAACATTAGCCACACCCTCATCGCAGATTCCAAATATATTTCCTGCAACACCCACCCCTAACTCACCAAAATAAAATGCCATTAGATCTGATTTTCTGCACCCCCTGCCTGACACTGCCGTCTGCACCCCAAAGGTGTTATAGTTATGTTCAACTGGAAAATACCACCACCAACTTTTGCATCTCAACACAAGATCACCTATTGATCATGGCTACCAAAGACCTCCAACTGATCTATGACTACATAAGACCTCCAAATGGCGATGACTAAACAAGACCACCGACTTATCCATGGCTCTTCAAGACCTCCAACTTATCATTGGCTACACATGACCACCAAATGATTCATGGCTACGCATGATCACCAACTGATCCCTGGTTACCATGACCACCGATTAATCCGTGGCTAAACAAGACCAGCAAGGAAGGAACTAATCCATGGCTACACATGAATAACAACTGATCTAAGGCTACACATGACCATCGACTAATCCATTGCTCAACAAGAAAATCAAGGGAGCAACTGATCCACGGTTACACATTACCTCCAACTGATCCATGGCTACACATGACCTCCAACTGATCCATGGCTACACATGACAACTGACTAATCCATGGGTTCACACGACAACCGACTAAACATAATCCATGGCTAAACAAGATCAGCAAGGAAGCAACTAATCCACGGCTATTCATGACCACTGACGTATCATAGGCAACACGTGACCACTGACTGATCCATGGGCTCACATGGCCACCGACTAATCCATGGTTAAACAAGACCAGTATGGGAGCCACTAATCCACGGCTACACATGAATACCAACTGATCCATGGCTTCACATAACATTAACTAATCCATTGCTCAACAAGAAAATCAAGGCAGCGACTGATCCATGGCTACACATGACCACTAACTGATCCATGGCTACACATGACCACCAACTGATCCATGGCTAAACATGACCACCAACTGATCCATGGCTGCACATGACCACCAACTGATCCATGGCTAAACATGACCACCAACTGATCCATGGCTAAACATGACCACCAACTGATCCATGGCTCAACAATAAATTCAAGGGAGCAACTGATCAACGGTTACACAACATCTCAATTCCTTAAAAAATAAATATATCCAAAGATGAATGAATGCTCGAATTATAAATGAAAAGGCAATGCATACATTTGCATTATGGAGGGGTGCTACCCATGGTCTCACACACTGTTTGAGGGTGCCCTGGTGCATTAAAATCAAAATAACTTTGGATCTTAAAACAAAGTATAAAAATAAAAGCAGTAGGTACTGAATGGTATTTAAATATATAACCAAGGGGGCCATCAATATTATTATTTTGTTGTATGATTTTTGTAAATGTACTCTTACAATTTGTCGAGTTTGTTGAGAAATACGTAACAAAGGACTGAAAGCCAGTATGCATAGAAAAACGATGCCATTGCAATAGCTAGTGATATGAACAATGTTAAATTAAATCACTAAACTATAAAATTTATATAAAAATTCAAAAAGTCAAATATACAGAAATAAACTTTATTAACTTACAGCACAGCAAGTGAAAAAGTATATCCTTGAAAGATACACATATTCATCTACAACGCACAAAGAGTTCAATCATGTAAGGCTCCTAATAGTATATTACGTCTCGTGAGTGATTAGGAAAATTATCAAAAATCTCTCCCAGGAGGGAAAACTGCCGCTTATCTATAGGGAGTCTGAGAATAGAACCCTCCAGAAAAGAAATTCTAGAAATTGCACCCTGATAACATTCTTTAGAACAATAATAACGTAAACTACACTGCGACGCCTCCCTGAATTTTACAAATTATGGTACATCAATGGTTGTATTTGGGTCACTACTGCGGAGAGGAGTGAACTAGACCTATTCATCAAAGTTGTAGTTGGCTCTTTTCACTCATCCATTAAATTCACATCACTGGTCTTGGTTAACTTTTTGGACTTACGGTCACCCTTCATTAAGACAGCCCACTCACCCGCCTACTTTACACTCACTGACCACCACAGCTATTTACTCTAAACTCCTCCCCAACCTAAACCAAATAAGGAATCTATTCTCCTTTCTCATCGCCTTCGTCGACTTTGCCAGTCTGAGGATAACTTTTGAGACAAGGCCCTTGAGGTGATTGACTATTTTCGATGTAGGTCATACCCGGAGACAGTACTTTCATCAGCCATTCGATGGGTTCAAAATATTACTTGTGCTGATGCCTTCGGGTCTCGCAAGAGTGACAATTGCGACAACACCAAACTTACTCTCACATATGATCCTCATAATCGCATTGCCAAACAGGTTTTCCTTAAAAACCGCGCCATTCTCCTAGCCAAACCTGAAACCCACAACATTTGCTCAGCCCGCCTCTCGCTGTTTTCAGAAGAGATACAAATCTACGAGATCTTCTTGTGTGTAGTCGCATCCGTGCTGCTCCCTCTCAATTTGGGACAAGCCATGTGGTCGAAGCCGTTGCAAACATTGCCCTTTGGTCATCCAGACTCAACATATGGTTAAATATGGTATTTTACCAGCTGCCAGGTGAGACTGGAAAACGCCTCTCGGCCATTTGTACTGAACACCTGTAAAATATTTCGCAAGGTAAGCAGTGTCCCATCTCAAAATACTTTAACTTCAATAGAAGTGACCACTAGGGCTTAAGGGATTTTGCCACTAGCTCCATTGCACCTTGTACTAACACGTCAAACGGGGTGAACTTGGAGAAAAAAAATAATTCAGATTTATG